GGACTGACAGACACACAGGGGGGCAATAATGCTAGAAAACTTTAAGCCTTTCATTTCCTTAACAATAGTTTCTCTGAAAGCATGTCAGGATTCTGACACTATGTAACTGTCCTTGCTTTGGGACTGCTGGATTAAGACTTCCTATGAAGTTTCAAAGCAGGTCTTAAGAGCAGTATATTATTTCTAGATTTGAAAGTCCATTAAAAAAAAAAAGCAAAAAAAAAGTTCAACCAACAAAGAAATTTTGTGTTTTGGACAGTAACAGTTAGTATAAATAACGATACAGCAGATAAGTGCCACAGACACCAAATGGTTAGTCAGGATGAGCACTTCCAAGGTCTGAGGACTAGGCTAGGGCAAGTTGACACTCACATGCTGAGGTTTGACTGGACTAAAGGGTACAAACTACCACAAAAAATGAAGATGAGCATGGAAAAGTTTGCCTTTTGAGAGCAGCTGTTGGGCTCACTGTTAGTAAGCTCATAGAAACGATCAGAAGAACTAACCAACCTAAGGAGAGATGGAGTGAGTTCACATTTTATTTTTAAAAACTGGGATGGAAAAATTCTATGAACAAGAATTTGCATATTTTGTCCTTCCTTATTCTCCAAATGCATACCATAATAAATTTTAGCCAATAGCTAATTTTTTAAATGAACAGACTCTGAGGGGGGAAAAAACATCCAAACCAGAAATCTTTCAAAAGGCTCTCCTTTTCGTTCTGGATGTTTTATTTCTCTTGGGTCTTGGGGAAATATTACCAACTCCAATAAAGGTTAGCCATTAATATAAAATCAAATAGGTGTGCCGAAACCGGTTTGGCTCAGTGGATAGAGCGTCGGCTTGCGGACTGAAAGGTCCCAGGTTCGATTCCGGTCAAGGGCATGTACCTGGGTTGCGGGCACATCCCCAGTGGGGAGTGTGCAGGAGGCAGCTGATAGATGTTTCTCTCTCATCGATGTTTCTAACTCTCTGTCCCTCTCCCTTCCTCTCTGTAAAAAATCAATAAAAAAAAAAAATTAAAAAAAAAATCAAATAGGTGTGGGACTCATCCTTCAGAGTGCAGCTGACCTCCTTAGGGACTAACGAGCGCCAGCACCGTGACAAGGCTGCAGTGATCCAGTATGTAAGCCCTTCTAGCCTGAGAGCAGAACTTCTTAGGATCTCCTTACACTCCACTGTCTAGTATAGCATGTTACATGATCACCATTCATTCCCTAATGGAGAAGATGGCAAATGCATCTGCTTAAGACACTTGGAAAGA